CAGTGATCATCGGAGCCCAAGAAGGTAAATATTACTCCATTTCTTCCCCTTTTTTGCCAGAGGTGGGACTTCGTTTTTTTGATGTTGAGCTTCAGACCATATTTGGTCTCTCCTTCACCTCATTAAAAGGTTCTTTAATTCCTCCTCACTTTCTGCCATCAGGTTGTGTCACTGCATATCTGGTTGTTGATATTTCTTCCGGCATCTTAATCCGCTTGGGATTTCAGCCCAGCCTTTCGCAATGATGAATTCTGCAATAAGTTAAATAAGCAGGGAGACAGCCTTGTCGTACTCCTTTCCAATTGAACAATCAGTTTTTCCATATCCAGTTCTAACTGTAGCTTCTTGTCCCACATAAGATTTCTCAGGAGACAGATGAGGTATCAGGACTCCATTTCTTTAAGAACTTGCATAATTTGCTGTGGTCGACACAGTCAAAGCTTTTGGTGTCAATGAAGCAGAAGTAGGTGTTCTTTCTGAACTCTCTGCTTTCTCCATAATCCACGCATGTTTGCAATTTGGTCTCTGTTCCTTGCCCTTCTAAAATCCAGCTCACTCTGGAGTTCTCGTCCACATACTGCTTGGGCTGCCTTGTAGAATTTTAGCACAACCTTGCAGCGTGTGAATGAGTGCAATTGTGCGGCTAGTTGGAGCTTCTATGAATACCCCCACTATTTTGCATACTTTTGCGGGCTTATTCAGATGGTGTGGCCTCGCCGGATAGGTCCCCACCCCTTTTTCCAGGATATTGAAGAGGAGATGTTAGGGAACAAACTTTCGTCTTCGAGTGCAGAGCGTGAGCTCCCCTGCGATGCTCAATCCATACGCTGAGGCACGCGGCCCTTTCCACTCTTCTTTGCCACAGTTCCTTGCGATTGCACAGGCAACCTTGCACAGCCTGGCCTGGTCGTTTCTAAAGCCACCCTGCAGTCCTTGAAGATGGAGGTGCAATCCTGCAATTTACAAAGGAGGATGTTGCATTGAATCCCGACGATTTGGAGTATAATTGCAATAATGCATAGATGTTGTGCTAAGCTCCTCTGTCATAAAAAACATAGGAAGCACTCAGTACTTTTGTTGTCATACTTGTTAAAACGGGGGGGGGCAGTTGCAACACTGAAAATCTGAAGTCCATTGCAGCTCCAACTAAGGCAGGACAATAAACCTAACCTTTCAAATTCACAAAGAAGTCAACTGTTTGTCTGATTCTTCCATTCCAATGGCGATTACTCCTAAAAGAAAGGAGGACCCAGGCTCCTTCCTTCCTCCACATCCCCTGAGCATATGTCACATCCTCCCACTCCTCCACAAGGTTGAATCAACCCATAGTGGAGCAGAAGGTGTGTTCAAGAGCACAGGTCCCAGAAGAAACCATGGATTATGACCTCAAACACAACAAAAGCCTGGAGGTCACTCCAAAGGAATAAAATTATTGCAGACAAATATATCATTAATTATTATAGCAGAAGCAAAAATATATAAGTGGGGGAGGTTTTGTAGGACGATTTGGTACCTGAGTAAAGTCTCTTAAGAATTAACTCTACAGACACCCTTGGGAAGGGCTTAGTGGCGCAGAGACAAATCAGCAGCTGCCTCTCCCTTGTGCTGTCCTCACCTCACATATTGCCTGAAGACCCAAGATTCATCACGCCAACATCACTATGTCCCCCTAGAGCACTCCCAGGACTGGAGCTGCTCTCTGGTGCTATGGAAGGTAGGTGTCCTACAGGGAACAGAAGGCTTACAGCTTAGGCAACCCTAAGACAGCTCTCTCTCCTCTAATGACTGGAACAAGGAGAAAGGAATGGGGAAGGTCTTAATGCAGGAATACCAACTGTTTACACAAACCCCCCAAAAAAAGTAAGAGGAACAGCCACAGATGAATGGCGCCTTGACAACAGTCTTCTGGATCTGACCGTGGTCACCATTGACTGATATTTCTGATGCTAGGCTCTGTGAATAAACCCAGAGAGTTCTGCAAGAACTTCCTGGTGTCCGCGTCCCGTCACCTGATGCTTTCATGGACCATGTAGATTCTCTTATATTCGATGATGTCAATGCATGTTTTGAATCCTCTTTTGAGAACGATGCATGTGCATGTCATAGCACAGGTAGCAATCAGCTGCTGTCCGTCCTTGAGGGATTCCCCCTCCTTAATGCAAATATTCCAAAAGGGCATCACCGGGGAGAAGAACTCAGGACTACTCGCAGCTGCAACAACACTGAGGCAAGGAGGAGGAAACACAAAGACAAAATTGCAGGATTAAGGCAAAGCGCCCAAAAACCGCAGAGG